CTAACCCTGGCACGTAACCAAAGTTACGAAATACCTTCTTTTAGTCTTTTATTGTAAATGTTTAGTGCATTTGATATGGTGGTTTAAGGCTCAGTTTAGTTTATTTTTATCAACTTGATAAAGTAATGATGTATTTTAAAAATCTTTTAAAAATCCTGATGTACTCTCTTTAAAAGAAAATACGTTCGAAGACCTACCAAGCATTGTCTATTTTGTGTCAGTCAAAATATTGTCTGTTTTGTTTCAGACAATAGACATGTTGATCTTTAAGGAGTTCTTAACTAAATCCAATTCCAGAAAGAAAAAAAAAAACAGCAGAGACTGCCCTTGGTCTTTTACTAGATTTGTGGCGAGCCATGGTTGTTCATACTTGCTGATTAGTTGTTGATGAAGAGAGTTGTGTAACAATCTCAATGATAGATTCGGTAAACAGATGGGATCGAACATAGAATGGCTTCAGCGTATCATTCCCAAACCGGGGTCCAAACAGAATTGTTTAAACGGATTTTCTACAACATGTTTTCTAGCTATGTTAATAAAAGACAAAACAACTGGGAAAATAAATCACCATATGCCATGTTGTCACAAAACGACTGGGAAAAAAAGAAACCATATGACATGTTCTGTCACAGAACATCAGCACATGTGTTCGGGGTTCAAACTTTCAGCAATATTGTCAAAATGAGAATAATGGAATTGTATGAAAGAGAATGAAATGTTATGCTTGAAGTTGAGTCAAAACCAACGAATTCATATTTACATTGTTCCTATATGCAAGACGAGGGTACTGATCTGGAAATATTTTCATTCGCTTCACTAATTAACATATCCGTCTACATTTATTGTTGCTACGGACAGGATCGTGTAGCCAATGCCTGCAAGTGTTTCACCTATAAACCACTATCGAGAATTCCACCCAACGATAAAGCGGTATTCATCAAGAACATAAATGACCACTTCGACCCAGTACTAGATGTTGAGGATGAAGAATAATTTTGGTTACCTTAATAAAAATATTGGCCATTTTGTACCTCGTGAATACCACAATTACTTGTCTGAAAAGACACTTCGTCCTCGTTTAACTGCAATCGTGATGCAGAAATGCTGCGACAGCAGATAGAGAAGGATATCGACATGGTCTATGTAAAATAGAACACCACTGTAAGATATAATGTTAAAGACTTCGAGCATCTTTCTAGAGTTGTTAACACGAGCATCTTCAATTTTGTGCCAGGGAGGATATCGAGAACAAACTTATTTATTAGCCTATCTTAGTATGTAACAATGTGTGTGCATATTTTCAATAAAGGTACAAATGAAAAATGTTCATATTGTTTTTGGTATTTTTGAAAATCTATTTTGTCGATGTACTTGTCGAACTAGTACTTGCACGTCTCAAAGATCTTTCGGTTGACATTTTGTAATAAATCAGTAGAGGTCTATTTAGATATGCATACATACATTTAGATAAGCTTGTTTGGAAAACTGCCTTTCAATATAATGCACTTGGAAAGCGGTGATAATAATGGAAATGTCATTTGTTTCATTCAAAAAGCAACAAAAAGACCCAGAAAATAATGTATACATTATTTCTATAATTTCGAATAACTGACACCATTTAAAATACATTTTCATATAAAGTAATAAAGTTTTAGATATTTATTTCGTTAAAACTTTGATGTTGTCGTCAATTTTAATTCGTGCTGTTTTTAACAACACGTATTTCGAACTGTAGGTAAGAAGCTGTCTAATTTAATACGCCATTAAGACATGTTAGTTCCACAATGACGTCGTTTTGAATGCGGACACTATTTTATAATTTGACTACTTCATTTCATAAGAGGTCCACTTTCGTTTGTACAGGTTGTTAAATGAACACATTTGTTAATATTTAAAATCATATCACTAATTTCCAAATGTCCCCTGAAGGTTTAGAAAGTAACAAAATAAAAGATCACTTTTATTGTGTCATACTTCGATTGTATATTACAAGGTATTACAAATGATACAATAAACAATGTTGAAAAGTTGATTTCTATTTCGTCTTAAAAACGAACATGTATAATCATTACAATTAATATAAGAGTGGACTGATTCACTTACCGTAATATGCCGTTACTACACAATTTGGATAGAGTCGAATAATTAAACTTTATACCATTCTTATAATAATTATCGTGCTGCTGAAATATTTAATAAAACGGAAATCCTGTGACAAGAGCACGTTTTGCGAAGCATCCATCGGTCCTACCTTTTTTTCTTGTTTATTATTATTATTATTATTATAATTATTATTATTATTAATAATTATTATATAAACTTTGATCTGGTTGTTGTTGTTGGGCTTAACGCCATTTTTCAGCACACGATAGGCTATTCATGGCGGCCAGTATTAATGGTGGAGGAAGAAACCGGGAAATCACCGGAAAGAACCACCAACCCACGAGAAGCTACTGGCAAGCTTTCTCACATATCCACATTCGCCGAATCCTAGACTCGAACCCACGCAGATAGAGGTGAGATGGCAGTGATCCGTAACGGACAGCGCTTTAGACCACTAGGCCACTCGGGGCCCAGACTATGACCTGGAAATTGATCATTATCAACAAGAATCAAGCTGTCATCAAAATGCTACTTAAAACAAAATTAGACAAAATGAATTCGCTACTGTCTTGAAAATAAACAATGATTTCCTTTCATTTCACCTGCTGACTATTTTTTTAGGTGAAAATACATTATAAGTTTATATTTAGAAACAATGCCATCAAAACAACATTACTCCTGGCCAGACTAGAACAGAATCTGATACAAATGAGAATTTCAGCTAAATAAAAGGGAGCATAGCTCTGATAAAATATAAACGGATATAGCAGGTTCAAGAAATGAACAAGCATCATATACACTGAGTCCATTATGAAAACAATCGGTTATACACAAGATTTTCTTGTTTTCAGATGTTTTCTTTTGTTTTCTTTTGTTTGTTTGCTTCTTTGTTTTTTTATTATATACTGTAAGTTTCTAAGTTTGGTAACAACTGCAGAAGAATGGAATTTCTAAGGTGCAAAAAGCCCAAAAAACGGAAATCTTAGACAAATGAAATATCAAAATGCTTATGCATATAATCAGTTACAGCAATCGATATTAACGTATTTTTTAGTGCAATCTTCAAATCTGACTAAGATTCCAAGATTGGCTTAAACATCAGACCAGATATTGCATAATCTTGTAAAAATGGGTAATATTGCTTATTCAGGAAAGGTGATAAAGTGTTCTGGAAATAACTTACTTGCTGCCAGTATGGTAAAAATGGTTGAAAATTGAACACAAGGTAAAGTTTTTCAAACAAGGTTTAATAACTCTGGATTATATAAACGGATATTGCTGGATAAAGACAGGAACAGAGGTATTGTTGAAATACAAGTTGTTGTCAAGTTTATTAAGATTATACGTGAAATGAAAGGTTTAAGGCGCAGCTAACTTAAACAGATTGACGGACGGACAACAGATCATCATGAATAACTCCGCAGACTAGTTGAGCATATGCTCAAGTGAGTTAACAAAATAAGAAGAGCGTCGCCTAGCGAGACACTATATGGCCATCAACATCAAGATATCAGTAACGTGTATTTATCGAATACACCATCCGGTTCATGAGTATGTATGTATGTATGTATGTATGTATGTATGTATGTATGTATGTATGTATGTATGTATGTATGTATGTATGTATGTATGTATGTATGTATGTATGTATGTATGTATGTATGTATGTATGTATGTATGTATGTATGTATGTATGTATGTATGTATGTATGTATGTATGTATGTATGTATGTATGTATGTATGTATGTATGTATGTATGTATGTATGTATGCATGTATGTACTTACGTACGTATGTACGCATGTATATGGTTGTATGTATGAATGTATGTATTCAAACCATCTCTACATTAATTCCATCTATACAATTGCTTACAATGAAATGCAAATTGATGACTGTAGAAATACTAAAATAAAATAGAGACAAAACAGTCATACATACAATTATAGTGTTATAAAAAAATATACAATTTCACAATTGAAAAGAAAATTATACAATTTTATTTAATAAATTGGTATTAAGGCCATTAGGATACAAAGTATCTAATTAATGAATCAAATAAGTCTCTTTTATAAGTCTGTTCATGTCTCCATGCACAATATCTATTGGCATGAAAGAAAAATTTTCTTTTCAATTATGAAATTGTAATTTTCTTTTCAATTGTGAAATTGTATATCTTTTATAACACTATAATTGTATGTTTGACTGTTTGTCTCTATTTTATTTTATTATTTTACTGATTCAAGTTTCATTAGAGACTCGTGTATCTTTTAGATCCTGTTGTGATTATGCATTGTTTTTATGACGTTTCCTAATGACGTAATTTCTTATGAAGTTACGTAATGACGTAATTGTTTTTTTTTAGCCTGTAAAAACGTCATCCGTTTATTTCAAAACATTTTGTGCCTGAAGAAGCATATATTATATGCGAAACTAGTTGCACGGAATTACCGGCGTTTGTGTTGTTTTTTTTTTTAATCCCAATACTGTAGAAATACGGCATTTACCTTCTCCATCCCAAACTTTCATTTTGATCGTCCGCCATATTAGTTCATCGGATAACTACTTCCGTTTTCAGCTTGTTTTTTAAGTGATGTCATGTACTTTATAAGGAAGCGTAAACAGATCGTATGGCATGCACTAAATAAACGATACGGTATAGCAAGCCTTATTTCAAAAGGTAATTACCAATTACGATGTTTGTGTGTGTGTGATTTTAACGTAGCTTTATGAATTTTTCAGTCATATCGCTACGATGTCTGCAGTTTGACAGTTTATAATGATGTCCCACCCAATCACATTATCCTGACACCAGGAAAACCAATCCTAACACTAATTTCTAAATGCTGAGCGCAAAGCGAGGAAGCTGTTAGTACCATTTTGGTAAGTTTCTGGTATGACTCGGCCGGGGTTCGAACCTGCGACCTCCCGCATTTGAGACGGACGCTCTAACCACTAGGCCACCGGAGTGGTCCAAAGTATGGTTAGTATAAACATACCAATAGAATTACCTTCTATGCACTTAATAGCATTACCACTATCCACAGATTTTAACTCGAGCCACCATTTTGTCCTTGCTATTAGTTTCATTTATTCCATTATAAGGTATGAGAACCCTTCATAGCCTTGACCAAAACACCAATGCTACGACATATCAGCTACCATAAACCTAGTTTCTATTCAAGGAAATTGCGCAATTGTTCGACTAAACTAACCATATATCTATCGGACCTGGAATATATTGAAGTATGACAAGCTGACTGACACATAGCCGTGGATGACTTTCAGCAAGTGGTCCAATGTCAAATATCTGAGACAGAAAACGATAAACAAAAAGTTGATTTACAGCAATAATTATCCTTTGGGCAAATAATATGTTTAAGCAAAGAGATGTCATTGGATTATGTACATGGAGAGAAAATCCAATACTAAAAGAGATCACTACAAAACCATTCTCCTAGCTATTCAACACAGATTGCGTCATGTTTGTCTTGCCATTATATCAGAAACCTGAACTAAAGATCATAACGAAATTATTACACTTTCCACTCGTCATAGAAAAATTTATTCAAATAAGTGAAAATGCCATGCTGAAGCTACGTAAGTCTACCCACTCTTACACAATACGCATAACACAAAATCAATACAATTAATTCGATGGAAAAAAAAACCCACAGAGAACAAAATTACTATAGAGAATTCCATGGATTCAACACAGGGAACAAAACAGCTCCATTTAATAGCATGAAAAAAACACGGAGAACAAAACTCCAGTCAATTCCATGAATTAAAGAGAGACAAATGAACTCCAGTTAATTCCATAAAATAAACAGAGAATAAAAAATACTCTGATCTTTAATGAAAAGAATAATATGAAGGACGCCTGAAAATTGAAGAAAAAACTTTATCATTATTTTCGTGCATACCTAAGTATTCTCATTAAAACGGCTCAACAATCCGAAGAAACCGTGGTTTCTGTTTGGCGTGTTATAGCACATCAACACAAGTAGGTCAATTAGTACAGAGGCAATTGGAGTAAAGTACTTTGCCTAAAGACACACGATAGATGACCCAGGCTGGTCCGATGGGAGGATTCGAACCCGCACTCTTTCAGTCATGAGTCCTGCAAACTAACCACTAAGCCACCGCGGCTCAGTTATGGATTTAAGTTTTATGATTTTTTTATGTGTGTGATGTACATTTTTTTCACGACGTGCTAAGGTTCAGACAATCCTGAAAAAAAAAATAGGAAGCGATATATTCTGAAACAGTGCGAGCTGTTTGAAGAATGCTACCTCACATCACATCTTTTTTTGTTGCTAAAATGGCCCGTTTGTTCTTAAGTATAACAAAATACAAATCGATTTATTTCGCTTGTCATGACCATTAATTACACTTATCTATCAGTACATCATTCTCAATACAAAAAGAAAATGGTCATATATTGATCGATTAGAGCTGTATATCATATACATTCATATGGTCAAAAACATATCTAAAATAAAACACAAATATAACCATAAACAAAAAATTACCTAGTGGTTGACACAACAAGGTTTGGAAGAGAAAATGTTATGTTCCACCTGTGCAGCATAAGTCAGGCGTAATGGAATTTTCTGTCATATTAATACAATTAATACTGAAAAGATAGGATTAATAAAATAATCAAAAGTTTATGTAAAAAGTGTTAATGCTAACCTAGAAACCATTCTGTTCAGATCTCTCTCTATATTCTAAATATTAGTCATTGAGGATAAATTAGCGATATCTTTGTTCGTTATATATTTAAATTCACTTAATTTTTGTATGCTATTCTTTGTATGTGTATGTATGTATATATGAATATATATATATATATATATATATATATATATATATATTTATATATATATATATATATATATTTATATATATATATCTATATATCTTTATATATATATATATATATGTATATATATATATATATATATATATATATATATATATATATATATATAAGATCGCATACAAAATTCAGTGAATTTAAATATATGGCGACGAAAATAAGATAATCGCTAATTTACCCTCAATGACTAAATTAAGAAGAGTTTAAATTAACGCCTGACAACATGAATTACAATACAGTATATATATACAAAAATACAGTGATACGCTAACAAAGTGAACCAGCCTTGGCTCCTCAACACTAAAAATATCCCGTTAAAATATTTATTTAAATAAATTTTTCTCCAAGCTCTGTGTAGGTGAATACACAACCATACAGACATTAGTAGGTACATTAACAAATATGCCCCAAAAAGATAAGTGAAAACACAAATATCCTCAGCAACAATATCATACATACTGATTATGTTATTTATAAAAGTAAACAGGGTTAAAATACAGTGTGCATGTAACATACGTACTTATACTTATCGAAAAACGAAAATGAGTCAATTCCTGCCTCACAATATAACAAAGGTTCGATTTCATATCAGGGTTTGGAATCAGTAAATTATTTTTAAAAAATCTCATAAATTTTCAGGAGACAATATATTTATTCCATTATACTGTCAAAATACCGTATATTTGATGAATCGAATGCTCAATGCATAAAACCACCGATGACCAAGGGACAAGCTTTTCATTGTAAAAACAATATTTTCCCCTTGTATACTGAACAATATAAATATCCGGTTTCATGCAGTTGTTGGCAAGCTGTAGAAAGATTCTAGACCTTTTCCAACCTTTGTCCAGACTGGTTTGCTGTATTATCTAGACTTTTCTGGAACGCGTGTTCAAATTCTGTGTCACTTATAAATTAGCATTTAGCATTTAAAGCCGTTTTTCAGCACAAGATAGGCTACATACTGTGGGCAATAAAACTGCGGGAGGAATAACCCGAAAAAATCCCGGTAAAAATCTCCGACCCACGAGAAGTTACTGGCATGTTTTCTCACGTACCCATATTAGCCAAGCCCGAGATTGAACCTACGCTTAGGTGAGATGGCATTGATCTGGAACGGTGATCACTTTTGACCACTCGGCCACTCGAGGTCCCTGTAAAATAGTTTCCACCAATCATGAATGGGTGATAGGTCACGCGCGACCCGCCAACCACACCGAACTAGTATCCAGCAGCCGACACCTCATCTAACCTGGCGATGATCAGCAATTATAAATATAAAACACAATAACCCAAAATTGTCTACTTTTTCAGACCATTGGGGCTGAATCGTCATTTTCCATAGTTTTTCCACGTCTAGATAATGTAGTGTTTTTCCGTCATAGTTTTTTTTCCAGACTTTGAACACTGCAATATATTCATGAGAACTTGGGCATGGTGAAGAAAGCAATATGCGCAGTTACTTCGTTTACTAGTTAAAACGCAAATCAACATAAATATAATGAATATTAAATATTTATTGTAGAAAACAACTGTATGGAAGCAAATATGAACCGAGTTTCATGTCATTTAAAAAAATATCCGTAACTAAAACATTAAAAAAATTATCTGCAGGATATTCGTCATTTACATAGGAATGATATTTATATAATTAGACATAGTATTCATACACTGACAAGAAACTGTACAAGACACCTGGAAAATATGGCCTTTTTAAATAATCTCTGGATAGGGGGTGGGGGTTACATTTTGACTTTTCCATTATAAGACAATGCAACTACAGATGCATATGACCAAGTACTTACGTCATCTCACTTTCATAAATAAAATGCTTGAAATAAAACATTAAAAATTAACTTTTACAAGTAACAATATAAACCGTGAATTTTAAGAAGTGTGAAAATTGCTACGTCATTCGAAAGGGTATATTTTGTACCACACAAAAAAACCTGAAAAGATATCCGCTCTGAAGACGAGACGGACAAGGCAATCATCATCTTTGAAATATAAAAAGCTACACAGGATGTGGATAGAATATAGAACGCAATGCACACTTTAGTATCTAACACTTATTTCTGACAATGAAAAAAGCAAGACTTCCTAAAATCAAAATTAATCTCATGACATAAAAAATACGTTCAAAAAGAGAAATAACAAACTAATTAAAGACACAAAACTTAAGAATACACCAAATTATCATAAAACAACAGCGGTAGTGTACATCAAATATTAAAACTTTGAAAAACATCTTAACATCGGAATGTATCAGAATGACGTGCATTATGTTCATATAGTAAACTAAACTATATTTAGAAATCACAGTCTTCAAGGATGCAGTTATAATTTAAATGTAATTTTGTTCTCACGCGATGTATCATCTACAAAAATTGCTTTTGTGTTCGGAAAGGAATATTTGTTATGTGTTTGCAACCGCATATCTAAACGATTCCCCATTTTTACTTCTACTCTACTCACAATTCTTGCATTTTGGAGAATATAAAGACCCAGTCTTCAATCTCAGCTACATATATGCACGTTAAGTACGTTAAGTACGATATGTGTATATAATAATTTCAAACGCGGAACTTTATATCTTTCACAGATGCAACACCCAAGGACATATCTGATAAACGTCTTTCCAAGGCAGATTTTGCTTTGCAATAATTCACCTTTTCATGCCGAGCATCTGTATATACTTGCAGTTTGCCACGTCAGCACTCTCAGCGATTAGCCCCAATAGGACATCTCCTACCTTGACCTTGTCTTCAAGACAGTGGTCAAATCAGCAAATATTTTTTTTTATATACTGTACACCCTAATTCGGTACGTGTCCAAACTTTCACAGTTAAGTTCAAAAGGTATGGGGAAAATTCAGTGACATTAAAAACGTATTTCAAAATGTACGTGCATAGGGATATAATGAACGATATTCCCGATGTTCTTCCGCAAAAGAACATTAATCATAGTATGATAAAAATGGAACATATCTTTTTTCTAAAGCAGTATCTACGCACGTGTCTTAATGTAAAATCCTCATACGAGGTTTAAAACATCTCCGTTCGAATACACAATTCAATGCACTGACGGCA